AGAACGGAGCTAAAAATTAGTTGACCGACCGCCATCGCTGACCGCTGACCTATCGACCTTACGATTACACGTCATAAAGGAGAGAGAGAGAGGGGGAGAAATGCAAAAAAGAGACGAAGTTTCTTTTAATTAGTCTCTTTCATAACATATTCAGGCAAAGTGGAAATGGGGTCCATGTTCCCACCAGGAAATGAGGGATGCTCGGAAAATCAGATTATAAAACCAACTTATCGTGTAATACCCCTTACCGACGCAGTACCGCAGTTTCTTTAGAGACTTACTCCTTCTATATTAAAATAAACTCCTGGAAATAAATGGAATCCTGTTCCTTTTGACTAATAGGTTAAACAAGTGCTCTCAGTTAGATAAAAACGTAAACAGATTTGCCAAGTCGATTGACAAAAAAGGAAAAACCACAAGCGCACGAGATACTAACATAACAATCAAATGATACAAAAAAACCACAAGTGAGCGAGAAACCAACATAACAATTAAATTCATATCAAATTTTGTGTTTAATTTTTGGTAGACAATGGCACTGGATTACCTTCCTTTTATGGGCATTTTAATTGTTTACAGCTTAGAGGCTCTATTGTTTCTAGAACAAAGGTTTGAAAGAACCGACGCTTTGCCAATTTCCGAGAGCGCGAGATTCAAGATATTCGTTGACTACCAGGTGTTGACAATATCACAATTCTCGGGGTGGGGTAAGGGAAATGTCGCTCAGAACAAAGACAATTTTACCGGGAGTACGGAAGGGAAACTTTGTCACATGAAGCGCGGGCTGTAGAAGTTATTTCTTTTCTTCGCGCAAACTGGCGAATGTCAACGTTCAGAAGCAAAACTATTTGACAAAACATAACAATCAAATGACAGACAAAACTACATGTGAGCGAGATACTAACATAATCAAATGACAGAAAAAATCTACAAGTGAGCGAGATACTAACATAACAATCAACTGACAGACAAAACTACATGTGAGCGAGATACTAACATAATGATCAAATTACAGAAAAAAAAAACTACAAGTGAGCGAGATACTAACATGAAAATCAAATTACAGAAAAAAACTACTAGTGCGCAACCTTTTCCTGAGTTTGCGTCATCAGGCGGGCTGCACTGGCTTTTAAAGTTATAGCTGGCAGAAGTTCGCATTAAAACCCGCGAGGGTAACTTTTATAAGGACTCAGCATACCTAACTGCTTTGGGGAAGAGTTGTAACTTTTCTTTCTGTTATTATCATTGGCTAGCAAACTAACTGTATTCAATTATTCCTCGGTAAACCGTTAAATCAGCTTATTACAGACCATCAAATGCTCCAAACAAATGGCGCGCATCAAGTGAAGAATAGCAGTGGCTTAAAATACTGAAACTGCGGTACACGAACGTGAAATGAACGTAAAATCAAATTTGAAGAGCACATAGCTCCGTTCGCTATTTGTGATAAAGCACTTTGGTTAGATGAAGCATGCTTTTACAATTTCGGAAAATGTGGCGAATTGTATTGGTAAAAATACCAGCCTCGATCAATTTCACGAGTCTAGAATGATTTAATATGATTATTCATGTCTCGGTAGGGTGATACTGTTTTCTTGACTATTGTCAGAGGTTACTAGGAAACAGGAAGTTTAGATCGGCCAACTGCAAAACGGATTATAATAATTATTAATCGTATTACTAGTCAAACAAGTAAAACGAGTATTTCCAGTATTTGCGGCCGGTGAAATCGGTCAAAAAATGAGTAGGGGACCATTTGCAGTGGCTTGTGCCGAGTGTGTACCACAGACACCAAAGCTCTAGGAGCGATTAGTCTATAACTAGACGAGTTGGGAGAAATGGCATTCCTCTCCAATCAGAATTTGCGTGCTGTATTCTTCTTCACTCTTGGTGGAGTAAGTGCAATTACGATTTTAAAGATCTGGGAAAATAGAGAATCTGTGCTGAGAGAAATCAGACGACAATTCAATTCAAACGAGGCTCGACGGCCCGAAGAAAATGATGAAAGGTTTAACTGAGAAGGTAAGAGTAATTTTTTATGCGTCGATGGATGATCTATAGTTATAAGTAATGGGCTCCTGTATCTACTCGAAAGTAAATCGCCTGTCATTCTTTCGCATTCTCGAATGGTTCCTTATCCGTGATTCATCAAAGTGATTATCAAGCCGTTGTCAATAGGGCACGGTTACATTCGAGTCACTAGAGGCTAGTAATTTGTTTCTCGTTTCAGAAACTCACATTTCATGAGATTGACTTGAAGTCAGAATATTAAGACGTTTTATTGGAAAACCTGAACTAATTAAATCTTGTCTTCCCTCTGTGTTTGTAGACAAATGCAGCTCAAGGCTGAGACGGACAAAGAAGAGTAAAGATCCATTACTAAGTTTAAGGACTTCATCACACAACGGA